CGTTAATGAGGGGGGAGGTGAGGATCCGCGTGGCTGGCGACGTGCTGCGAAAAGGGGAACGCCGTGGCGGTGGTGGAGCGACCAGATTAAGGCGTGTGAATAAACCCGATGCACAACAGGGAATAGGATACGATGGACCATTTAACAAAATATCAAATTATCGCTTTGATGATGATTTGAGGAACATCAATGGTAATGCTTTCAACTCCAAGGAAAACGAGTGCCCTGTCGGCTGCCTTGATTAGAGGCAGGTTAGCTCAACCTTTAATGCAGTAGCTAATTTAAGTTGACATTTACTGCTAATGGTGCTGCAAGTAATTGGTACAGCTAACAGTCCAATTTGTTTGATACGTCGTTCAAAAGGCACAGGACAATGGGTTAAAACATAAGACCACTTCTGTTGCCGTCAAAAATCCATCTGTTGACACTGCAGCTATTAATTCAAATTAAAATACTTATGACAATGCATTTATAACTGTGTACCAGGAAAAAGAGCATTTTCGATAATGCAGAAACTTGCTAAGCTCTCTGAACAGATGTTTCTAGATGGTTTGGGCAACATCGATGACAGTTGGCTGTGCATCAAATACGTGTCCTGACAGCAGCAATGGATCACACTTTTCCCATGCAACGATATGCATTTACACACTAGGGCGAGTCAGACAATTAGGATTTGAATGCTATGTCTTTGCCCCAGTTTTTTTCGATTTTCAATTTATTTTGGCAACGAGAATGTACGAGAAAGACCTAATGAAGATTGACAGAGTTGCAGGTGATGCCCAGATAATTACGGTACCACCGAAATCAATGTTCCAAAAATGCAACTGTTACCCCAAGCCTATTAAAAGCACCACCAAATACCTCCACTACCACAATGAATATGACAACAATGGACTACATAAGTGCATGACCAACCAGATCAATTGCTCTGACAACGACGTCAATTCGCTCAGCGACTTCAAAACTGAAGGTCCAACTTCTTGTCGGGTCTATAATCTTTTGCTTCGTATAGGTCCTGTTACATATTGCGAGACAAACGGTTCTTCCGAATGTTTTCCGATTCAACCGAATTAGCTACATCACACTGCTACCTTAGGTGGGTCATGCATGTTTCGAAAAAGAAAATTTTGTTCATTTTTCAACACAGTGATCGTTTAAAATGTAATTTTGCCCGATTAAGTGTATTTGATAGAAAACATAACATTTATAACCTTTCTACAAGAGAATGTAAGACATCAAGTCATATGCAACAAACGTTAGTCGGGAATATTTTAGTTGAACAAACGCAATTAGTCACTTATGAGACCACAAATCCAATCCAGACACGTTTTGTGTGCG